CATCCATTTATTGCTGTTGGCATAAAATTTTATATCTTTGGAAAAACTAGAAGAAAATCGCAAGAAACGAAGGGCTTTATTTAGTTTGGTAAAAAATACATAATATTCATTCAAAATTGTAAATTTGCAAAATAAATACAAAATTTGTTTGTTATTTTGAAAACATTGAAAAAAACCATGAAATAGTAACAACAGAAGCTTCTTGTATAATAATTTAGTGCTTTGAGAAAATATAATGAAACTATAAAAATATTGTCGCAGTACTATACGATTATAAACTGAAAGGAAGGATGTGATGCTAAAGAAACTACTAAGGGCTCGATTTTCAGTACTCACTTTAAAATGTAAACCTTAAGTATTTTAAACTACAAAAATATAAAAAACTTACGGAATACATATTAAATTCAAATACATATAATATATAAATAAAAATTTAAAAACCAAAAGAAAAGTTATATTAAATATACTATAGACTATACATTATAGAAAATATAATTTCTAAACAGATCAAGTAGCCTTCTAATGGAACGTAGAAAAATATTACTAAATATAATTAAAAGCGACACTTAAAAATTATTTAAACTAGTTTAATGGGTTTAAGAAAAATGTGTTCACACTAACTAAACCGGGTTAAATATCATATATTATATTTTTAGTTTACTGTTTAGTTTTTCGTTTATGTTTTTAAGTTAACTTTAATTCGAGCATTTAGGTATTCTCGGTAACTTGGTAAAGTTATAAAATTTTATTTATTTTTATGGATAATAAAACTTTCCAGTTATCGAGTTATCAATAGCAGTATTCAGACATACTCGGTAACTTAATAAACTGATATAATTGCATGTGTATTCATTTTATTAAATTCGGAAAGTTACTTAGTTACCGAGTTAACGAATTACCTTAAGATCTGTTGGGAGAATTTTTATGATATTCAGTAAATATTTTCTGATTTGTATTACAATTAAGTGTTGTCCAAAATTTAATTTTAATTTGTAGTATCGAACAAAATTATTAAAAGCAAAATCAGTTCAGATAATTCATTTGTATAACACTATCATTATCACTTTATCATTATCACGTTGTAATTTTATCACTTAATACATTACAGAGTCCTCACGCTTTTAAAGTTCCGTACTACTACAAATATATTAATAAAATATATTAATAAAAGTACCAAACATATAATTATTAACTAAATCGGCTTATTAACTATTTCTAAAATAAAATCTAAAACAAAACTGTTTTTATTAAAATCTAAGTATACTCAACATGAATTTCAGATTTAAAATTGTTTAAAAACAAAAATCAGAAGTAATACTTAAAATACACTGAAAAAAATTTTTATTTTAAAATTAAAGTTTTGAAAATGCAATTAAAACTGCATTGAGTACTTCATCGTTACGTTTATAGTTCATTGGGGAAATTACAAACTTCAAATGTTGGGCATTTAAGTGTGGACTTAACTTTTTCTTTTACAAGTGTCTAAATTAATAGCTCCAACTTGTGAGTTGCAACTCTTTCGACTTTCGAAAAACAGAACAAAGAAATTGCAACTGAAAGTGAAGCAAGTAATGATCTGCGTTAATAATCCCGTATAATCATCCTTAAGTGCCTTTTACTACTTGGCCCTTATTCCAGTAAGTAACGTTTATGCTGGATAAACTTCAATAGATGCTATAAACGCATAGCACTGCGTCTTTTACAGCACATCTGTGAACTCGACATAATTTCACATGCAGTTCTACTTTTTGAATTGCAACACTTCCATTACCTCCTTGTTGAAGTCAACTTTTAATATGCAATTGTATTTTCCTGAATTATGGTCTCTTAGCGAACAATTTAAGTACACAACAAATGAGAGAAAATTATGCCAGATACAAGTGTACTACTTACTATCATGTAAAAATTTAAAATATTTAAAAATTTTATTATTTACTCATATTTAAGCAGTTGTTACAGGTAGTTAAGTTTTATGGTTTATATTAATTATGATATTATATATTATATAGTTTAAACTATAATAAAAAGTTGATTTCAACTTTGTACGAATATTTTGTTGAACCTTTAAGAAAGGTTTTTTAATTTAAGACTCTATGTTCAATATGAACCTTAAGTAAGTTAAATACTTTATTACGTCCAAATTTATAATAAACAAAAATAAGTATTAATAAATATTAATATTCTTAGTATTAATAACTATTACATACTTAACTAGTACATTTATATATTGTATATTGTATAGCTGCAGTTTATGCATTTATTCTAATTATAGTATAACGAGTGCATTTGCACTAATATTTAAACAACTACATTAAAGTGCAATATTGGCTTAGGGTGTTAATATGCAAGTTTGCGTTTCAAATTTAACAGGATTCGATACTTGACACGTACAGTTCAAATATTATATACTTCCGAGTTAACAATAAATTTTTCTGAATTCTTCTGATGGCGAATATTGGGGAAGCTTGAAATAGCCTTATGGTCACCTAACATAATTCCCTTCAACAAAAATTAATTTTGTGAATATTAAGTTATTATAATCTTCTCTATCTATTCTATTTAAAATCTATTCGAAATTGATTTCTTATAACAAACTAAATAAAAATTATTATTAAATTTATAATTATTTAAAAATTAATCATTTTTTGAATTCTTTGTAGAAAAACAATGAAAATTTATTTTAAAATAGTATATGTGTAAGGTGAATATAATCTTTTAAGAACAATGGTCTATAAATGGTCATACAGGTCTTGAAGACGATCGACGTTCAAAACCACATTATCAACAATAATCAGCGGAAGATATCGTCTTTGAGGTTTGTAGTTTCATCGAAATAAATTTAGTGGAAGCTCAAGACATATATATTTTATATAAAAAACTTTAATAATTTATTATATATTAAATTTAATTTTAAAGTCAGTTATAATGGCAGTGACTATTTTACTTAATAGATAGGTTTCGAATAGCAGTGAATTATAACAACAACTGTTTCATAATAAGCAACTGACTATACAAATGTTTCAAGTATTGCCAAATACCCATCAGTAGAGGTCTTGCAATTATTTCTTGTATTAATTTATTAATATTATTTTGAGACAGCAAGTACCAAGAGTTGAACACATGCCCTGCCAAATTTAAAGCTCAGAGTCAGTATGAGTCAGTCAGTATGATTTGAACTTGGAGTTTTGTTAATTTGCTGTATTACCAGCAAATCATAAATTCACTATGGTTTATTATAAAATAATAAATTTTATTCATTAATATTCAAAAAAAAAATTCGAATCAACTTTACATTGTTTTTTTGATATTTTATATAAATTGATATAATAAATAATGAGTAAAAATATTTTGAATAAAATTATTTTTGTAGAAATCAGTATTTGCTTAAATTCAAAACTTGTAAAATATTTTTGGTAATTAGTAATATATGTTTTTTTAAATAAATTCCTTGCCACCTTCAAACATGTCTTCTAAAAGCCCGTATGGAAAACATATAGTAGATTACTTGCACCAGTTTGGTTCAATGACATTATCATCGTTGTTGGATTATATAGCTAATACAAGTGATGTAAGTAAATATTTATATAATTAATACACTTTTTTCTTCTAATAATTGACATTTTAAAAATAAATATTTCCTGTCGTTTAAAAAGTTACGAAAGTCGGAATTAAGGTCACGTGTATTAGAAACTCTAGAACGTATGGAAGATATGGGCGTTCTTAAACGCATGGAAGGACAATATGCGGTTCCGTCATTAAATGAAGAGTTATGTTTTGAACCAACTTATAGCAATGATGCTAACGTGGTTTATAGTCTAATAGGTTCATACCATAAAAAAAAATCAAAATCAAAAATATGAAACCCGCATTAGTTATGGTTAGTCCTTCTTGTAGACTAGTAAGCATATATTGGTTCAATGACAATTTTGTTTGGATCCTGTAATTTGTAACTGATTATTTGACTCGAGTTGTGGTAAATGGTATGTATTAATTTTTTAATAATGGTTATAGAGTTTGTGATATTGATGCTGTAGTAACAATTATAGTTTTATGATGACAATTATAGACTGATGAAAATAGTCATCCTTCAAACTGTTAAACACACGTTGGTTCAATGTAGCTTACAAAGTTTTGATGACATTTTGGAACATGGCAGCAAATGTAACTTAATTTCTCTAATAACTTTAGTTACAATACAAAAATTTTTGTTACGATATATTGACAAATACATATATATATATTTTTAATATTTTATTGACGTGTTTTGAACACTTATGAAAGCATAAATACTGTTTAAGGTACTTAAAGTTAACAATAAAAATTCGATTGCTGTGAAAGTTTATTTCAAATATATTTGTTGGCTTAGGTATTAAGGGCGAGTCTGTTACCATACTTCCTTATTAAGTTGATATAAAAGTTTTGATTTCTTAAGTACCTAAAGTAGTATGTTATTATCCGACCGTACAACTATTTTGTTATATGATATAGTATATTAAAAACAATTACAAGGTCAAGAAAATACCTAAGTACTAAACATTGTTGGTAAAAGAAAAAAGATTAGAGCTATGTTACGGATCAAATGCTCATTCTTTACTACGTTTGTTATTACTTTAATCTCCTTTAAATTTAATTTACATGGAAAGAAAGAACAGATGTGATGGTCGAGTATCATTTGTTGGCTTATGTAAATTGTCAAAATCAACTAGATTTTAGGTTTTCAAAAACCTAGGTGAGCAAATTATGCTAAATACATTCAAATGTAACCTGGAATGTCAAATGTGAAATTTGAACCATTTTAAACAGATACTGTAAATTTTGTGCGTTATTTAATTACTGTGGTTGACAATTATATATGTTACTATAATTCTGAATCAGAACCAGTGACAAGTAAATACATGATATTAACCGTGCTCGTTACCTTCAAAGCACGATCGTATTCAAAATTCAAAGATGTTACTTTAAGCTTTTTTTTGTTGGTTGGGAATAAAAGTACGTTGATGGACTAACTTTAAACTATTGTCTCAGACGAACAACCTTCCTCTTCATCTTGGTGCAATACTTCTGCTTACTCCAACTACCTTCTGTTCAAATCTGCATTTTTCAACCACAGGATTCTTTCAGCAAATATTGCTATGCGATCCCAGTTTTGTTTTTGATTCGTACTTGGGGAGAAACACCAACTTGCACTACTAGCACTTCTCGCCATTTGTTGCACTCAAAGAATTTGTGCTCTGCGGTATCCTCATTAGCTCTACTTTGCGGTAGAGGTAGCTGTTGAAATACTCATAACTAGACAGGAACTAAGGTAGGTAGCAGTTGAAATGTACAATATTGAAATTAAGCAAGACTATATAGACAAATAAAATCGTTTGTATATTTAAAAATATTGGTTTTTTTTCCATTTCGCGATATTAATACACTAGCCGTGAGCTTTATTTAAAAAAGCACTGATTAAAGCATTAGTTTTCTACCAGTAGATGGAGGTAATGCAGAGCATTTTTCTGGGTAATCTCTATTAAAGGAGGACGAATGAATACTCTGCTTCCATACTACTTTGCAATAATTAAACAATACCTTATTAATTATATGATTAGAAAAATTAATTTTTAGCTGCTATTAAAAACAAATTTATAATTGATTGGAAATAAATTTTGAAATAATATCTTTATTAATAATTTTATTAAAATTCAGCTCTTATCTCATTATCATAATTAGTTAATTTACCTCCAATAGGAACTGTTAAGCATCTGTTGAAAATCCATTAGTCAAGTGAAAATCGTAATGTAAGTTATTTTATCCTATATCTATACAATTTTATTTAATTTTTTATTCAAGTTGTGAAATGGAATAAAAACTAATACTTTTATATTTTCTATTTTTCTATTATTTTCTGAAAACTGCAATTTATTCAAATGAAAAATTCCTAACAAATCATGTGAATTTGCAATATTTTTATAGAAAACAGAAAGCCTTTAAAGTTTTTTTGTTATTCACGTTTTGTTGTGTCCTTAAATTAATCAAAACAAAATATGCCATTTACAATTAAAATCCTTGTTGGAATTTTAAACAAAATACTAAAATGTGTCACTTAAATGAAAATCACTTTACTGTCACTATTTAGACTCAGAAAAAGGACGAAAATTGTATTAAAGCACTGCTAAACCAATTTGAATTCCAATTTCTGAAAATAAAATATTGGAGCGCATATGTTACGGAATATTTGATTTTGTGTATCCCAGGTCCTTCAATTTTGGCCTGCAGCCTTTCGGTGTGCGACACCAATTGCGCCATAAAAAGTGGTAAATATTTGAAAATCCTGCAACTGCGCGAATAAAATTTTTACTTTCGCTTATTGCAGTTAAATGTTGGTTTGTTTGTTAATTTTATTTATATTAATTCAATTTAAAAAAAAAATATATATATATATTAAATTTACCGAAAGAATAGTTAAATTTTGGTAGTTATATAAAATGAATAAAATGTTTAAATGCTTTCTATATAGTTGCGTTTAAATAATTTAATCCACATTTTAATCCTTAAATGGTTGTTAGTTTAATAGGACTTAAGTATAATACTTTTTTATCAAAATTTTTATACACATTAGATCAGATATGAAAATAATTTTTAATTATTTTTAGATCGAAACAGTTATTAACTGAATAAATTTACAAATGATGATTAAAATTATTTTCTAATAAAGGACGAATTTCATAAAACTAATTATGAATTGCAATAATATCTATAATTATCTATAATAATGTATGTATATATGTATAATGATATATATATAAATATATATTGACTTCTCTGTTAACTACTGGCAAGAATACTAACAAATAGTGAAGTAAATGTGTTAGTTTCATTGTACACTTAAGTTAAATAACCCTTCAGAGATTAATATTTGGCCCTAAAGTATCACTTAAAATTCAAATAAATGTCACTTTAGCGTCAAATCAACACTTAAGCATGCATTTGAAAATTGACCTCAAGTTTTTAAAAATACTAACTAATAATATAATCAATTCTATAATAGTTTGACCAATTTTCACACTAGACAGCAATACCAGCACAAATATTATGTCATCAAATCCCATAAAATTAACTTTTATACAAAGAGATAAACTAGAAATGAAAAAATTAGTGCCGTTTTAAATCAATTTAAAAAAAAGAGGACACATGAAAACCTTTGAAGAACAGTTAGCAACGACAATTTCTAGAATTAAGCAACGACTAGTATACATTAATTTAAAACAAGAAGTGTTGGAGTTCATAACAAATCAAAAAAAATAAAATTCCTATTCTTAGCATTAGTAGGCAATTGCATCTCACAGGATCTGTAGGTGCCGATGTGCTTTTACATGCTCCTACCACTATTTGCAACTTTAAACCATGATAGAAGCATGTCCAGTTAAAAAATCAATCGCTAAACTAAGTTCAAATATTTTAGGATTCATAAACCTACAATTTTTATTCAAAGTATTGTTAGGTTATGATGTCTTTTAAGTTTGTGTATAGCATTTTCTATACTAAGTATTCTACTATTATTTTCTTAAATGGCATGATTTCTATTTCAAAGGCATTGTTTTTGTGAGCAACTTTCTCCCCCACCCTGTCTGTCGATGTAAATTAGTGCTCCAGATATCGAAGTTGTTCAGAATCGGTGATTGTTATTAAATCTGTTGTCTTTTTGATGCGCCACTAAAATAAAAAATCATGCCAATTAAAAAAATATTATTTAATTTATATTGTTTAATTTATAAACAAATTAATTATTAATTTTTAATACTATTGAAAAATAAATACTTAGAAAACACCATATATAAATTATATTCTTCAAAATGATAGTTTTAATAAGAATAAAAATAAATATCGAACAATTATCAATAATAGAGGCAGCAGAACTTCTTGTCCAGATCGGATTCCGTTAAAATCTAAAAATTTCTACATAAGAAGTGTAGTTTCGAACGGGAAAAATTTTGTTATTAATTTTTGGTTACTAATTTGGTTACTTTAGAAATATGAAGATTTTTGCAATGACAGCAAATTATTAAAACCAAATCTCAATAACTAACTGTATCAGCTACTCGTTCCGGAGTTACTCCCGATATCGAAATAACAACGCGACGTTCCGCAGTAAAGAGCTTGATTAAAATAATAAAAAATTCTCCTACTCATTGCAACAGAATATATTGAAAGTTTTTTATAATCTATAATTGGTAGATCCCATAAAACCATTTTTTCAATTATCCATTTTCTCTTGATTCATAGAAGTTTTTACATTATAAGAAGACACAAAGACGTGTACTAATTCGTACTAAATACAGGTCTCAAATTTGTCTAATTTTAAAAAATTAGACAAATTGAAGAACATATTCTATGCGTAAAATAATACTTGATTTTACAAACAATAATTTAACATCACTTTTTAAAAATTACTGCTTTTAGTAAGGTCATCCATTGACAATTACATGCATCAGTAAGTCAGATTCTTCTGTCATCATCAAGAGCCTAATGCTAAATGTAGTAACTGACGACGAAATGTGTGTTTTCAATGTAATATATTCAACTAATCATATATAAATTTCATTATATATTGGAGGTAGGTTCAAGCATAAATAACGCGTAACTTTTCAGCTGATATATTGGAAATGAAATATACAATACAACATCCAATACAAGTGACTATGTTCTATGAATACAATTGTAAAACCACATTTATAATGAACACAATTGTTAGTAAGTCGGTAAAGATTGGGACTAGTAAAGTGGTCAAATTACTTGCAAGTGTGGTAACGTTTCTTGTTAAAGCCAGTAAACATAGATGTTTTTGATTAAGCCAAGACGGCTGCTCAAAATCTTTTTATTATATTTTCATTATTTTTTAATAAATTTAAAAAATATATCAGTTTTTATATTTATGAATATAAAAAAAATTAATAACTTAATAAAATAATTACAAGTGATTCGCGTATAGTCAATACTAATTTAAAGAAATATGTGTATGTTGACTTACCTTCTATTGCAAAGGTGAATAGACTCATATGCACAGCCTCTGCTGCTGCGTTGCTTTAAGATGTGGTGAAATTATTCGGCAGAATCATTTCTACAATAGTTTTTTTAAATAATAGTATCTTTATTACTTTACGAAATAATAATGCATAATTATTATATTGTATTCTTCGTATAATTTTGAGAATTAATTTAATTTTGATTTAAAATTTTAAACAAAAATTTTACAAG